CCCTGGAACGTCTATGTTTTTCTGGTCTTCTGAATATGATCGAGCTGTGATTTCTTCTAATCATTTTTCCGTAGATCTGATCCATCTGCTTATTGTTTTGTAAGAATTCCTTGACATTTCTGGTCTGTTCATGATGGTGGAGTGTCAGAGATTGGGCCACATATAGGAAAGAACTTCCAAATGAAGGATGTTAAACCCTTACAAAATTATTTTCTCTGGAAAAATTAATATAGTGCTTTCTAAAACCAGGGGATGAGTTAGATACCTTGTCAGTCTCTTCCAATTCTTGCTTCAGTTGATTCCCTCTCCATAGGGTAATATAAACTACCTCCCCAAATCATTTAAAGTCTAACTTAAGCATACAGCTACAATGATCTAAAAAGCTGTATCCCTGTGGATTTTTGAAATGAAATTAGTAAAGGTGAAAATAAATTCTGGTAATATACTGTTAACCACATGTACTGAATAATTTCTCTGTTTAGCTCCACACCACCTCTGCCACTGCTTTTCTGATCTTCATCATTCAAATGAACAGTCATAGAGGATTTCTTTTCTGAAAGGAGACTTCACTTTAGAAGAAACAGCATAATATTTGTATTGACTTTCAAAATCCTTTTAATTATTTGTTGAGGAAACATTCATCAAACACTTCATGTATTAGGCAAAGTGTGCAAACTGCTGTAATAAACAACTCCAAATTTCGGATCCTTTAAAACAATATAGACTTGCTTGTGCTCCTATCACAGTATTAATGTAAGTCCTCAGGAAAGCACTACTTTCCGCAGAAATTCAGTAACACAGATTTCTTTTATCTCGGGGTTCATGCTCTGAGGGTCCTCTCTTCCACTATTTGAATAGAGAGAGTGAGGATCGCATGGGAGCTTTTTATAGGCTGGGTATGGAAACAAACATGATACACATTACTTATGCTCACATTCCTTGGCTTGAATTCAGGTAAACGGCCATGCTGAACTTCATGGGAGACCAGAAAATGTAGGCTGGCTGAAGACTTAGGAAGAGAATGCCCACAATTTCTATCACACCTTACTGTGTGCCCTCCTCTCAAGGAGTTGACTGTTTCCTCTAATGAAGGAACAAAATATTGTACATTCCCTAAGGAAGGTATTAAAATGCCTAAGAAGAAAGGAGGGAGCAATCAGATCCACTTGGAAACAAGGGGTATTGATCAGAGGTTTCATAGAAGAGACTGACATTTGAATTAAACTTCCTGATAAGATTTTCTCAGCAAGAAAGTGAGGTAGTGCATCAGCAAGAACACGGGCATCACAGTACAAACAACAGGCAGTGTGGCCCAGCAAGGCCATGCATCCCCGAGGCAGTGGAGGAGGAGTGGTGAATGATGAGGCTAGAAAGTTACCTTGAGGTGAGACAGCGACAGACCTTAGGTGGTATGAGAGCGAGATGGGATGTATTTGCAACAGGATGCCTTTGGAGGTAGTTTTAGCAGGGAGTGACAAGATCTTCTATGTGATGTAGAACGGTACACATTCATTCACTTAGCACTTACTGGACATCTCTGTGTTCTAGATACTGTGCTTGTTGCTAGGAATACAAAACAAGGAACACAGTCCTCGCTCTGGTGGTAATATAGAAGATTTGTTGGAGGGAGTAAGATTAAAAGTATAGAGATCAAATAGGAACTCCCTTTTTATTCAGAGTGAAAACACATAAGGCCCTGAACGTGATTATTGGCAATGAAGATAGAAAGGGCTGGACTAATTCTAGAGGTGATGTGTGGAGTAGAAGCTGGTGGAACTGCCGACCAATCACATGTACTGCATAAGGGTAAGATTCGCGGAAGAGTGTCACAAAGATTTCCAGCATGAGAGTAAACAAGAAATATCAAGGGAAGAGGATCAGGTTTGAGGGAAAGCTTATGAGTTCACTCATGGACATGATTTTGAAATGTCTGTGTGGAAATAATTGGAAAAAAAGTTCTGATGATCAGGAGACGGACCAGAAATGGAGCCACGTATGATAGACATATGGGTTACATTTTAGACCTTCTATAGAGTGCCTAAGAACAGAATGCCAAGATGTAAAAAGTGGGTAAAGAGACCACAGCCAAAAAAAAAGATTGACAGAGATGCGATTCATTAGCAGTTTTTTAAGAAGGGGAGACTGTAAAGATAAAACTGAGGTAACCAATAGATTTGGGAATTAGAGAATTCTTAGGGACCATTTTGCAAAAGCTGTAGGGGCAAAATGTAACAGGAAGAAGAAAAGCAGTAACTTGGTTGAAAGAGTAAATATTGTACAGGATTTGTGAGACTTTGAATGTATTTATAGTCCAAGGATAAACAGTGAGTTTGAATCTCAAGAAACAGAAAAAAACCTAAAAGGATATGGAAAGGTTTAGGTTCTAAAGCACAAGTGAATGGATTTGCTTTCTGAAACAAGGAAAAGGAGTCAGGATTGATGAACATAAAAGTTTAGAGGTGAATGAGAGTGAGGCCGAAAAATACGAGGGTCAGGGAAGCTGATATGAGGTCATTGGCACTTGTGGAGAAAGCATAGGAAATTGTGAGAAATGAGAATGGAAACCAACTATGGATGTTGATGAAACATGAGCAATATGGAAGGATCCATGTTAACGTGTTGATTACTATGTGTGGAATTGAAATGGTTGTCTTGGGGTTCAGGTTGGGTAGGGAAGGAAGCAGAGCCTGGAGAGGAATGTTAAGTCTGGGGGAATTTGGAAGAGGCAAGAGACTAGAAGTTGTGTATGAGGTTAGTGGAAGATGTATTGTTGGTCAATGGTCCTGCTATAACGTCCAAAGGGAACGATCATGAATTGTAAGAATACTTCTTACCACTTACCAGTAGTGTTCTTTGATATCAAATTTTGTGGTACATCTAATAAGATTCATATCTCCATCTGTAAATTGGGATTGCCATTTTTTAGAGAATATAAAAAATTATAGGATGAACGAAATCATGTATAAATGACTCTACATACATTTAAATAATATCAGAAAGCAATTGGAAAGGAAAAAAAGTTTCTTCCAAATTCCCTTAGTAATCGATGAGGGATTTATCCAAATGACTCCATTTAATAAATGAATTTTCTTTGAGTGAATTCATTCAGATACGTTGTAGAGAGCATGTTGATTGTTGATAAAATTTTCAAATGTGTGCTTTTTAAATTGTTATCTATGCTATTTTGACATAATTCAAAGGGGTGTTTTTTATTTATATACACACGCACACACACTTGGAAATCTTGATTGACAGTATGAAGCTCCATTACATAAAATATTTAACCACAGCACAAGAGCCATTTGCAGTTTAAAAAAAAAAACATATAAAACAATATTCCAATGAATTGTCCATGTATAGCAACAAATCAGTAAGAAAGGACAAACTGGCATAGTGAAATAGATAAATCAGATTTAGGCAGGGTAGTTTATTGAATTTAAATTGTGCCCAGTTGGCCCAAGAGCTATATATAAGCAATCCATCTTACGTTGTTAATGGAGGTTCTTGAAATCCACCTGATGTTTGCATTATTAAATTTCAGTCTAATGAGCTCGGCTAATACATATTGAAGATGGTTGTAAGGAGCAGAATGTGAATCTGAGCGGGATAATTTGAAAGAAACATAAGCTGAGCATTTTACATGACTCAAGGGGTATATCTACAATTACACATATAACCAAAATTGAATTTAAATGGAATTTCTATTATCCTTGTCCTTCTACCAGGGAGAATAAAGTGTAAATGAAGTAAAAGTCTTTAGAGTTACTGGTGGTTTGTTTTTATTATCTAATTTAATAGATTCTTGCAATGATACAGAGTGGCATAAAAGTTTTAATATTTCATGACTTTAAATGCAGTCTAAGTACGTATTAAAGCTTGTAAATGGAAACAGATGTCTATGTAATTGGATATAGCACTTCACAGTACTATTATATATAAGTTTTATGTTTTAAGAAAGTGTCAATATTGATGGTGAAGAAAAACAAGACTTTGAAGAAAAATAGTTATATATGTGGTATTTTTTTAATTCCTCTTCTAAAGCCAGGTTTTATACTTCTAAAGAATATGTTGATTTTACATAGGAAAAATATATGCAGCAAAAAAAAAACTGAAGAGCGTGTTTATTTTTTAAATCACAGTGTACATTGCTGTTATCATTATAATAAAGGCTCATCTAAAGTTTAATGCTGGCACAGTTTGATTCTTTCTCTTTTGACGAGGCAATACTTTTTTAACTTAATATTTCATCAACTATAATGCTATTAGAGACTTATTTTCACTTAGTTCACTCATCAGGCAGTGAGCTGGCAATAAAGGAGAATCGCTCCTTTGAGACATTAATGCTTTGGAATAAATGATGTGCTAGAACAGAAATTTAATTAATTTACAGAGTATATTGATAGTCCCTTGTTACTGTGCTGTATATTTTTAATCTTCTTTAACATCTGTAGTAAAGTGTTTGAAAACCCCTGCAGTTGAGCAACTAGTAGATAATTAAGTAATAAGGGAAGAGGTTTCTAGAGGGAAAAAGATTCTTTTTACCAAATGCTGTCATAACATGAATAAAGAACTGCTACTCTGATATGCAATGAAAAAAAATAATATGCTACCTAATTTGATACTGTTCCAAAGATATTACAAGCTTCTTATATTTAAAATGTGAATTGTAGCTTAAGAACTTTCCTCCAAAGTTTAAAATAGATGACTTTTAATGACCAACAGGTATTCCCAATTCATATACCATCATTTAAACTTTATGTTGCTTAAATTAATTTTCTTTTTTTGTACAGAGATTATCTTGAACTAAGCTTTAAAGATTCTAAATAAACATTTCAAAGATTCTGAATATATGTAAAAGATATATTAAACATTTTCAGCCATTTTGGTTTCTTGTTTTATGTCACAAGAAATATGCAATGGATTTCTTTTCCCTTTCCCCAATATTTTCAATGTTTTATGATACAGACAAAATAACAGAAATTCCATTGTTTTTGTTTCAGCAAAAGCTGATGAAGCATTGAAAGCAAAAGAAAGAAATGAAGAAGAAGCAAAGAGAAGAAAGGAGGAAGGTAAAGTCATGTGTTCATTTTGCTTCAAAGCAGTCATTCTGTTGGGGAATCACTATTTGGTGTGATTGTCTTCATTCCCTGGGAAAACCATAGATTATAATCAAATGTCTTGGGGGATACCTCATGCTACTTCATGAACCTAAACTCTCACATAATATCGTGCTATATTCAGTGTCTTGGATGCTAAGTAATGTTTGCTAGCATAAGATTAGTTTATAAGCATCCTAGTATATATTTTGGGGAAAAATTATGAAGTAGATCTGGTGCTGGTTTGTTTCCTTCTGACTTTTAACTCTAAGTTAACAAATTATCAAAATCGGTAATAGAAATGGATTGAATTTATGTGTACATTTTGAAACATTTTAGCAATAAGGAAGAAAAGTCCCGTTCTCAACAATATTTTAAAAAGCTGTTAAAAGGTAGCAATAAAATATGAAGTGTCAGAAATCACCATAATTCAAATTAAGAAATTCATGTCAGAATTTCTATAGGTTAAATATTTTCTGTTGAAAACATTGAAGCCACCACCCAAAAACATTACACAAAAAAATCTAATACATTTTTATCTCCCCTAACAAATTTTTATTTCCCCTTTAGTTTGCTATGATTTATGTGAGTGAATATTTTACATTTTTCGTCGCAGAGGCTTTAGCTATACTGTCCTAAATACAGTGCTTAAAGCAAGATCCAGGCAAGTCTTTCTCAGTGAGTTAAGTTGATGATCCACGTGGACTGGCAATCATGTCACTTCACTGGCTAATTAGCAGAGTAACTATTTCCTCTGTGAGCTTTCAAGAAATTAAAGCCTGATATGTTCCAGATATTGGCTTTGAGTGCTCTTGTCTAAATCTGAAAATTGTAATTTTTATCTTAGTACATATCTTTTACTGGAACAACCAGAAAAAAAAAAATTAATGCCCTCCCAACTTAACAGTGGAGGCTGGGATCCTATCAAACCTAAAATGTTTGTGTTTTGGAATGCCTAAAAGCAGTATTCTGTTAGAGCCACGGCCCCAAAGCAAGTAAAAACCAACAACTAGGTAAAAACCAACAACAAAAACTAGGTTCAGGTGACAGAGCCCTACAAATAAGTAGATTCAAATTAAATGTGGACTGATTTATACGAATGGATAGTTTTTGTACCGTTTGACCCCTGTAAGTCCTGACATTATGCTTTTGTCTTAGATCAGCTAATTTTATGGCATAGTGAGAAAACAAGTGAATTCCTATGGCAAGAATTCTCTTCTTTGACTTTCTGAAGTGCACATTTTGGCATTGTTAGTGGAAACGATCTATCTGATTTCAATGATGTTTATCGTCACCCATAGAAAAAATAGATATAATACTAGATGCAAAGTAGCCTAAGCAAATTATAATATTTAGTACTGCTATGTTATGTGGCATTCTGATCAATGTAACTAATTAATAACATAATAGTCCTTATAAAACATTGTGGTACTGTAAATTACAAGTGTGGTACTTATTACCAACCAACAGAGTGAATATATGTTCTAATAGTTATTAGTCTAATCTCATTAATTCAAATCTTAATTGGAGTCATGAGCAGTTAAAAAAGTATGGCGCTGATGTGGTAACCACAGATATTGAAATTGCTAGGTGATTTATTATTATGAAAAACAGATAATATGAATGCTTGTGCTAGTAAAACAAGCATTTTAAATACTTTGGAACCCTTCATTTACATAGCAATAATTGATATTTATAATAGTCTCCTCTTTTTTTTTCACTAAATCACCTCTACACATATTTTTAAAGATATTTTACTAAGAATTTCTTAAGTAACTACAGATACTGGAACATTCTATTACAATTCCTTTGAAAGTATTTCTTTCCTTTAGACATTCAGGAAGTCAAACTGACCTTGCACTTAGTCTGTGATATACAGTAACCTTTTTCATTTCAGTACCTGAGAAGTGTTTGAAAAGGACATCCCTCTAATTATAGCTGTTTTAATTAGCATCTTTATAAGTCTGTCATCCTGGCAAAGGTATAAACTCTAGGATTATGGAGGATTTAGTATCCAGGATGCCTAGCACATAAAAAATACTGTTTCTTAATTATGGAATGAATGAATGAATGAATGAATGACCAGTTTACCCTTTGTTTTTTCAAATCCATGCTTAAATGACTTATCTTAAGCTTGTAATTGATTTTATTTTATTTTTTTTTGTAATTGATTTTAAATAACCTCACTGAAAGTATAACCCAACTTTGTTATGTCTCTTTTCTAAGATAAGACCTCATCTATTAGGCTATTTCTCTAAAGAATCACAGCAATTCAAAAAGAAAACAAGGAACTTCAAAATTCTATCAATATTTGCTAATGGATTTATCAAGTTCTTACCTAAGCTCATTGAATATTATGTGCATACAAAAGTCATAGGAATATTAACACAAATGTTGAAGAAAAATTCTACTGAAAAAGAACCTTTGTGACACTGATTTCATTCTTTGTTCTTGTTTGCTTCCAAAATTGTTTTCTTATGTGTTATCTAGATACTTGAGTGCAATCAAATTAACCCTTTTTGAACATGATTAATGTATAAGCTGCATTTATTTTATTTCATATAATTAGCTACAAACTGAAACCTGTGATACATCTGTATGTGTATATGTTTCTGCGTCTGAAAGAGTGATAATCCTATATTTCCAATCTATAAGCCACTAGTAATTCATTCTATCACATCATTTATACAATTCATCTCTTAATTTCTCAGCATGCTGATATGCAGCACAGGATTGAAAGCATTTTTAAAATGTAGATAAATGTTATCTGCCCAGCTCCTTTTAGCCATTCTCTGTTACCTCAAAAAAGCTCTTGTATTAGCATAGCAAGATCTGTGCCTTGCAAATACATTCTGACTATTATGCAGTCCTTTCCTTTGAGTCTTCTAAAATCAGTATCATAACTATGTTTGCAAGTATCATAGCCAATAAAGTCAGGCTACTCACCAAAACTTGTCCAGGGTAACTACTTTGCCTTCTACCCTTTAAACAGTGGGAGCCCGGAGTGGTCTTCATGGTCTTTACACAGCTCTGTTGAGTTTCCACTCATTGACTATTACTAGTACATTGGTATGGATCTTCTTTCTTGAACCATTTACTCTCTAACTTTCCATTTAAGTTAAACTATGTAAAAGTTACATTCTTTAGTAAAACTCAGCTGAATATTTAAAGTTTAGGTTTATAGTTTCCTTCTTAAAAAATAAGTACTTTTTTCCTGGATTATATCTTAGGAAAAATGAATAACATTAAATCTTTCAGTTCTGCTTTCTTCCTTATTCTTTGATATAATAAATGCTTGACTTCAGCTTCTCTTTTTCTTTGTATGTGTTTGAAAATGTTCTGGCTATATGTAATTACACGTCATTTCAACTTTTATCCTTGGTAGGTTTTTTGTGTAATTGCATGCTTTAGCAAAACTTCTTAGGTTTTCTTTATTTTATTTTTATATTTAATATAGTATTTATTTTAGGGTTTTAGTTATGTTTTAAATCCATTTATAAAGGGACACCTGGGTGGCTCAGTGGTTGAGCTACTGCCCCTGGCTCAGGGTGTGATCCTGGAGACCCAGGATCGAGTCCCACATCGGGCTCCCTGCATGGAGCCTGCTTCTCCCTCTGCCTGTGTCCCTCTGCCTCTCTCTCTCTCTCTCTCTCTCTCTCTCTCTGTGTGTGTGTGTGTGTGTGTGTGTCTCATGAATAAATAAATAAAATCTTTAATAAAAATAAATAAATAAGTCCATTTATAAGATAATAGTCTTCTGTTGTATTTTGACTTCTCTCTAATATGAATTTCTTATTTGTGCCATAGGTATAGCAGCTTTCGAATTCCTTTTCCCCTTGTGTTTATTCAAAGCAGCTCTACCCATCTGTTAGTTTTCTACTTCAAATATTTTTTTTCCAAAAATGTTAGGGAATCCAGTGTAAATTATTTATGGAAATGGTGGACAATGACAATATGAACACAATATGAGTATCTGCCATGCGTAATTGACAAGAAGTAAAACCAATTAGCCTAATTTCATTTTTTTTTTTGGTCTTGTTGTCAATCCTTTAGCAAAGGTGGGGATAAAAAGTGCAAGTAGCTGAAAGGAAGAAGGGATCACAGGCAATGTTCTAAGTATTTCACATATTTTAACCTCTTAATCCTCATTAATTCTTTGACGTATGTGCTGTTATTATCCCCATACTATTGGGAAGATAGGAAACTAGGGCACAGAGAGTTGCTCTGTGGCTGGTGAGTAATAAAGCCAGTACACAGACCTGGGCAGTATGACTGCAATACACATTCCCCTTCTTTAAACATAAATCATACCTTTATGATCAAATATAATATGGTTTAATTCCCTCTTCTTCTGTCCTCTGCCCTCTTCTCTGAATCTTGCCCATAAGCATTTCTTTAGTGTATTTTTTTGTGTCGTTAGATAGATCTGGACCCATATTAGGTTTCCTCACTGGTTTCTGGGACACCCAACAGGTGAGATACTCTAGTCAGAAGGACATATTGTGTAGGTGTCCATGTCCTTTTCCTAATAATTTCTCTGCTTTCCTCCCTAGTGAATGGCTGGTTTATGTAAGACACCCACTTGTCAAGTTCACACCACCTTCAGAACCTGGACCAGAGCCAGACCTAAGCATGTCATATCTCAGGCACCTTTCTCAGAGGTCCTGGCTCTCCCAGTGTTTTAAGGTCCCTAGCATAAAGCACACTTAATTCCAGGTCTTACTGCACTCAGGGAGGGAGCTGTTGTAATCCCTTTTTTCTTTCCCCAGCGGTTCCTTACCTCAGACCAGAGAAGAAGAGGAGTGTTGGGGACTCTGAGACATCTCTTATTACTTCTTTGCAAGAAGAGATCCTTTATAAGAACGTTGGAGTGAAGTTAGAAGGGTAAAGTGCAGGTGCAGGAGTATCATTTGGGAGTCACTGTTTATTCTGTTGGCATGTTGATGTAAATAGGTAAGATGGAAATAGGGATT